TTGAGATAGATGTAATTTATACATTTCGTAAGAGCGGTAAAAATTGTATGAGAAAAAGGCAGGTAATTTTTTCTCAATTCAATTTCCAAATAGAATGTACTCCAGGCATCAACTTAATTTAGACATTTTTTGTTACATGAGATTTTTGTTTAGTTTATAATCAGTGAAATTAAATTTGAGATAGATGTAATTTATACATTTCGTAAGAGCGGTAAAAATTGTATCAGAAAAAGGCAGGTAATTTTTTCTCAATTCAATTTCCAAATAGAATGTACTCCAGGCATCAACTTAATTTAGACATTTTTTGTTACATGAAATTTTTGTTTAGTTTATAATCAGTGAAATTAAATTTGAGATAGATGTAATTTATACATTTCGTAAGAGCGGTAAAAATTGTATCAGAAAAAGGCAGGTAATTTTTTCTCAATTCAATTTCCAAATAGAATGTACTCCAGGCATCAACTTAATTTAGACATTTTTTGTTACATGAGATTTTTGTTTAGTTTATAATTAGTGAAATTAAATTTGAGATAGATGTAATATATACATTTCGAAAGAGCGTTAAAAACTGTATCAGAAAAAGCAGGTAATTTTTTCTCAATTCAATTTCCAAATAGAATGTACTTCAGGCATCAACTTAATTTAGACATTTTTTGTTACATGAGATTTTTGTTTAGTTTATAATCAGTGAAATTAAATTTGAGATAGATGTAATTTATACATTTCGTAAGAGCGGTAAAAATTGTATCAGAAAAAGCAGGTAATTTTTTCTCAATTCAATTTCCAAATAGAATGTACTTCAGGCATCAACTTAATTTAGACATTTTTTGTTACATGAGATTTTTGTTTAGTTTATAATCAGTGAAATTAAATTTGAGATAGATGTAATTTATACATTTCGTAAGAGCGGTAAAAATTGTATCAGAAAAAGGCAGGTAATTTTTTCTCAATTCAATTTCCAAATAGAATGTACTTCAGGCATCAACTTAATTTAGACATTTTTTGTTACATGAGATTTTTGTTAAGTTTATAATCAGTGAAATTAAATTTGAGATAGATGTAATTTATACATTTCGTAAGAGCGGTAAAAATTGTATCAGAAAAAGGCAGGTAATTTTTTCTCAATTCAATTTCCAAATAGAATGTACTCCAGGCATCAACTTAATTTAGACATTTTTTGTTACATGAGATTTTTGTTTAGTTTATAATTAGTGAAATTAAATTTGAGATAGATGTAATATATACATTTCGAAAGAGCGTTAAAAACTGTATCAGAAAAAGCAGGTAATTTTTTCTCAATTCAATTTCCAAATAGAATGTACTTCAGGCATCAACTTAATTTAGACATTTTTTGTTACATGAGATTTTTGTTTAGTTTATAATCAGTGAAATTAAATTTGAGATAGATGTAATTTATACATTTCGTAAGAGCGGTAAAAACTGTATCAGAAAAAGGCAGGTAATTTTTTCTCAATTCAATTTCCAAATAGAATGTACTCCAGGCATCAACTTAATTTAGACATTTTTTGTTACATGAGATTTTTGTTTAGTTTATAATTAGTGAAATTAAATTTGAGATAGATGTAATATAGACATTTCGAAAGAGCGTTAAAAACTGTATCAGAAAAAGGCAGGTAATTTTTTCTCAATTCAATTTCCAAATAGAATGTACTCCAGGCATCAACTTAATTTAGACATTTTTTGTTACATGAGATTTTTGTTTCGTTTATAATCAGTGAAATTAAATTTGAGATAGATGTAATATATACATTTCGAAAGAGCGTTAAAAACTGTATCAGAAAAAGGCAGGTAATTTTTTCTCAATTCAATTTCCAAATAGAATGTACTCCAGGCATCAACTTAATTTAGACATTTTTTGTTACATGAGATTTTTGTTAAGTTTATAATCAGTGAAATTAAATTTGAGATAGATGTAATATATACATTTCGAAAGAGCGTTAAAAACTGTATCAGAAAAAGCAGGTAATTTTTTCTCAATTCAATTTCCAAATAGAATGTACTTCAGGCATCAACTTAATTTAGACATTTTTTGTTACATGAGATTTTTGTTTAGTTTATAATCAGTGAAATTAAATTTGAGATAGATGTAATTTATACATTTCGTAAGAGCGGTAAAAATTGTATCAGAAAAAGGCAGGTAATTTTTTCTCAATTCAATTTCCAAATAGAATGTACTCCAGGCATCAACTTAATTTAGACATTTTTTGTTACATGAGATTTTTGTTTAGTTTATAAACAGTGAAATTAAATTTGAGATAGATGTAATTTATACATTTCGTAAGAGCGGTAAAAATTGTATCAGAAAAAGGCAGGTAATTTTTTCTCAATTCAATTTCCAAATAGAATGTACTCCAGGCATCAATTTAATTTAGACATTTTTTGTTACATGAGATTTTTGTTTAGTTTATAAACAGTGAAATTAAATTTGAAATAGATGTAATTTATACATTTCGTAAGAGCGGTAAAAATTGTATCAGAAAAAGGCAGGTAATTTTTTCTCAATTCAATTTCCAAATAGAATGTACTCCAGGCATCAACTTAATTTAGACATTTTTTGTTACATGAGATTTTTGTTTAGTTTATAATCAGTGAAATTAAATTTGAGATAGATGTAATTTATACATTTCGTAAGAGCGGTAAAAATTGTATCAGAAAAAGGCAGGTAATTTTTTCTCAATTCAATTTCCAAATAGAATGTACTCCAGGCATCAACCTAATTTAGACATTTTTTGTTACATGAGATTTTTGTTTAGTTTATAATCAGTGAAATTAAATTTGAGATAGATGTAATTTATACATTTCGTAAGAGCGGTAAAAATTGTTTCAGAAAAAGGCAGGTAATTTTTTCTCAATTCAATTTCCAAATAGAATGTACTCCAGGCATCAACTTAATTTAGACATTTTTTGTTACATTAGATATTTGTTTAGTTTATAATTCGTGAAATTAAATTTGAGATAGATGTAATATATACTTTTCGAAAGAGCGTTAAAAACTGTATCTAAAAAAGTCAGGTAATTTTTTCTCAATTCAATTTCCAAATAGAATGTACTCCAGGCATCAACTTAATTTAGACATTTTTTTACATGAGATTTTTGTTTAGTTTATAATTAGTGAAATTAAATTTGAGATAGATGTAATATATACATTTCGAAAGAGCGTTAAAAACTGTATCAGAAAAAGGCAGGTAATTTTATCTCAATTCAATTTCCAAATAGAATGTACTCCAGGCATCAACTTAATTTAGACATTTTTTGTTACATTAGATTTTTGTTTAGTTTATAATTCGTGAAATTAAATTTGAGATAGATGTAATATATACTTTTCGAAAGAGCGTTAAAAACTGTATCGAAAAAAGTCAGGTAATTTTTTCTCAATTCAATTTCCAAATAGAATGTACTCCAGGCATCAACTTAATTTAGACATTTTTTGTTACATGAGATTTTTGTTTAGTTTATAATTAGTGAAATTAAATTTGAGATAGATGTAATATATACATTTTGAAGATCGTTAAAAACTGTATCAGAAAAAGGCAGGTAATTTTATCTCAATTCAATTTCCAAATAGAATGTACTCCAGGCATCAACTTAATTTAGACATTTTTTTACATGAGATTTTTGTTTAGTTTATAATTAGTGAAATTAAATTTGAGATAGATGTAATATATACATTTCGAAAGAGCGTTAAAAACTGTATCAGAAAAAGGCAGGTAATTTTATCTCAATTCAATTTCCAAATAGAATGTACTCCAGGCATCAACTTAATTTAGACATTTTTCACATGAGATTTTTGTTTAGTTTATAATTAGTGAAATTAAATTTGAGATAGATGTAATATATACATTTTGAAAGATCGTTAAAAACTGTATCAGAAAAAGGCAGGTAATTTTTTCTCAATTCAATTTCCAAATAGAATGTACTCCAGGCATCAACTTAATTTAGACATTTTTTGTTACATGAGATTTTTGTTTAGTTTATAATTAGTGAAATTAAATTTGAGAAAGATGTAATATATACATTTCGAAAGAGCGTTAAAAACTGTATCAGAAAAAGGCAGGTAATTTTATCTCAATTCAATTTCCAAATAGAATGTACTCCAGGCATCAACTTAATTTAGACATTTTTTTACATGAGATTTTTGTTTAGTTTATAATTAGTGAAATTAAATTTGAGATAGATGTAATATATACATTTTGAAAAATCGTTAAAAACTGTATCAGAAAAAGGCAGGTAATTTTTTCTCAATTCAATTTCCAAATAGAATGTACTCCAGGCATCAACTTAATTTAGACATTTTTTGTTACATGAGATTTTTGTTTAGTTTATAATTAGTGAAATTAAATTTGAGATAGATGTAATATATACATTTCGAAAGAGCGTTAAAAACTGTATCAGAAAAAGGCAGGTAATTTTTTCTCAATTCAATTTCTAAATAGAATGTACTCCAGGCATCAACTTAATTTGACATTCTTTGTTACGAGATTTTTGTTTAGTTTATAATTAGTGAAATTAAATTTGAGATAGATGTAATATATACATTTCGAAAGAGCGTTAAAAACTGTATCAGAAAAAGGCAGGTAATTTTTTCTCAATTCAATTTCCAAATAGAATGTACTCCAGGCATCAACTTAATTTAGACATTTTTTGTTACATTAGATTTTTGTTTAGTTTATAATTCGTGAAATTAAATTTGAGATAGATGTAATATATACTTTTCGAAAGAGCGTTAAAAACTGTATCTAAAAAAGTCAGGTAATTTTATGAAAATTTACTTTTCAATTCTCTTCTCTAGTAAACAAAAAAAGTAAGTATAAGTTAGTTTTATTAAGTTGCTATTTAAGCGTTTAGAATCTTAGCTAAGCTTATAGTCATTATAAATTCTTCACTCTTGTGGTGGCTTATATTCTGGCTTTTGCTTAGTATTTTCTTGTCGTTGATTAGGTATTTTTCTTTTTTCTTTCAAAATTTTTTAAAAATTCAGTATGAAATTTTTCTGTTCGTCCAAGCACAAATCATTAGAGGAAGAAAAGAAGAAGGTTGAGCAAGACAAAAAGCAAAATATCTTGGATAAAAAAGCGAATGATGCCTTGAAGCGCGAACTTATGAAGGAAAAGCAAGAAGTTGAGAAGACAAAGAAGGAACTTAACCATGATAAGAAACTTGTAAGGCCTTAGCAAATCTCTAAAGTATTTTTGTTTTAAGCTATCTTCTAAACTTGAACAAGTTGATCAGACGACCAATCATCTTCTTGCTGTTGTTGCTGAGCACACTGCGCTGATGAAAGTGACAAACGATAAGATTGAAGAGGTTTGAACCTTAAAAATTTTTTAATCTTTTTTTTTTAATTTTTCAGTTCACAACTAAAATGGCAATCTTGGAAGGAATTCAAGCAAAAATGAAGGAGATGGAAGATATTCATCGTCGTCTGACTAAGGCGGAAGGTGCGCTTGACAGTATCAAAGACAGCATGGTTCGTCAAAAGAAAAAGAAAAAGAAGAAATAGAGAGGATATATATTCGATATGTGATATGGCGATATGTGATAATAGGCGTATGTGATTTGTAGGTAGTATTTGCGATTTGTAAAAATTCTCGCTTTATAAAAGTTATTCTTTCGTTAAAAAGTTTTTTTTTCGTTTTTCGTTATCACAGCTCTTTTTTGTTATCCATAGGTTGGGACGAGGGCTGAAAGTCCAAAGTGAATTGTATGGGTTGTAAAAGGGTGCAAGAAGGGCCGAAAACCACGAAGTGGCCTAAAGTGTGTTTATCAGAATATCGAATATATTTTACAAAAATAATACTAAAAAAAGTTTTTGAGCTAAATTTGGATAATTTTATTTTTATCAGAATATCGAATATATTTTACAAAAATAATACTAAAAAAAGTTTTTGAACTAAATTTGGATAATTTTATTTTTATCAGAATATCGAATATATTTTACAAAAATAATACTAAAAAAAGTTTTTGAACTAAATTTGGATAATTTTATTTTTATCAGAATATCGAATATATTTTACAAAAATAATACTAAAAAAAGTTTTTGAACTAAATTTGGATAATTTTATTTTTATCAGAATATCGAATATATTTTACAAAAATAATACTAAAAAAAGTTTTTGAACTAAATTTGGATAATTTTATTTTTATCAGAATATCGAATATATTTTACAAAAATAATACTAAAAAAAGTTTTTGAACTAAATTTGGATAATTTTATTTTTATCAGAATATCGAATATATTTTACAAAAATAATACTAAAAAAAGTTTTTGAACTAAATTTGGATAATTTTATTTTTATCAGAATATCGAATATATTTTACAAAAATAATACTAAAAAAAGTTTTTGAACTAAATTTGGATAATTTTATTTTTATCAGAATATCGAATATATTTTACAAAAATAATACTAAAAAAAGTTTTTGAACTAAATTTGGATAATTTTATTTTTATCAGAATATCGAATATATTTTACAAAAATAATACTAAAAAAAGTTTTTGAACTAAATTTGGATAATTTTATTTTTATCAGAATATCGAATATATTTTACAAAAATAATACTAAAAAAAGTTTTTGAACTAAATTTGGATAATTTTATTTTTATCAGAATATCGAATATATTTTACAAAAATAATACTAAAAAAAGTTTTTGAACTAAATTTGGATAATTTTATTTTTATCAGAATATCGAATATATTTTACAAAAATAATACTAAAAAAAGTTTTTGAACTAAATTTGGATAATTTTATTTTTATCAGAATATCGAATATATTTTACAGATATTCTGATAAAAATAAAATTATCCAAATTTAGCTCAAAAACTTTTTTAGTATTATTTTTGTAAAATATATTCGATATTCTGATAAAAATAAAATTACCCAAATTTAGTTCAAAAACTTTTTTTAGTATTATCTTTGTAAAATATATTCGATATTCTGATAAAAATAAAATTATCCAAATTTAGTTCAAAAACTTTTTTTAGTATTATTTTTGTAAAATATATTCGATATTCTGATAAAAATAAAATTATCCAAATTTAGTTCAAAAACTTTTTTTAGTATCATCTTTGTAAAATATATTCGATATTATGATAAAAATAAAATTATCCAAATTTAGCTCAAAAACTTTTTTTAGTATTATTTTTGTAAAATATATTCGATATTCTGATAAAAATAAAAGTATCCAAATTTAGCTCAAAAACTTTTTTTAGTATTATTTTTGTAAAATATATTCGATATTCTGATAAAAATAAAATTATCCAAATTTAGTTCAAAAACTTTTTTTAGTATTATCTTTGTAAAATATATTCGATATTCTGATAAAAATAAAATTATCCAAATTTAACTCAAAAACTTTTTTTAGTATTATTTTTGTAAAATATATTCGATATTCTGATAAAAATAAAATTATCCAAATTTAGTTCAAAAACTTTTTTTAGTATTATTTTTGTAAAATATATTCGATATTCTGATAAAAATAAAATTATCCAAATTTAGTTCAAAAACTTTTTTTAGTATTATCTTTGTAAAATATATTCGATATTCTGATAAAAATAAAATTATCCAAATTTAGTTCAAAAACTTTTTTTAGTATTATTTTTGTAAAATATATTCGATATTCTGATAAAAATAAAATTATCCAAATTTAGTTCAAAAACTTTTTTTAGTATTATCTTTGTAAAATATATTCGATATTCTGATAAAAATAAAATTATCCAAATTTAGCTCAAAAACTTTTTTTAGTATTATCTTTGTAAAATATATTCGATATTCTGATAAAAATAAAATTATCCAAATTTAGTTCAAAAACTTTTTTTAGTATTATCTTTGTAAAATATATTCGATATTCTGATAAAAATAAAATTATCCAAATTTAGCTCAAAAACTTTTTTTAGTATTATTTTTGTAAAATATATTCGATATTCTGATAAAAATAAAATTATCCAAATTTAGCTCAAAAACTTTTTTTAGTATTATTTTTGCAAAATATATTCGATATTCTGATAAAAATAAAATTATCCAAATTTAGTTCAAAAACTTTTTTTAGTATTATCTTTGTAAAATATATTCGATATTCTGATAAAAATAAAATTATCCAAATTTAGTTCAAAAACTTTTTTTAGTATTATCTTTGTAAAATATATTCGATATTCTGATAAAAATAAAATTATCCAAATTTAGTTCAAAAACTTTTTTTAGTATTATTTTTGTAAAATATATTCGATATTCTGATAAAAATAAAATTATCCAAATTTAGTTCAAAAACTTTTTTTAGTATTATCTTTGTAAAATATATTCGATATTCTGATAAAAATAAAATTATCCAAATTTAGCTCAAAAACTTTTTTTAGTATTATCTTTGTAAAATATATTCGATATTCTGATAAAAATAAAATTATCCAAATCTAGTTCAAAAACTTTTTTTAGTATTATCTTTGTAAAATATATTCGATATTCTGATAAAAATAAAATTATCCAAATTTAGCTCAAAAACTTTTTTTAGTATTATTTTTGTAAAATATATTCGATATTCTGATAAAAATAAAATTATCCAAATTTAGTTCAAAAACTTTTTTTAGTATTATCTTTGTAAAATATATTCGATATTCTGATAAAAATAAAATTATCCAAATTTAGCTCAAAAACTTTTTTTAGTATTATTTTTGTAAAATATATTCGATATTCTGATAAAAATAAAATTATCCAAATTTAGCTCAAAAACTTTTTTTAGTATTATTTTTGTAAAATATATTCGATATTCTGATAAAAATAAAATTATCCAAATTTAGTTCAAAAACTTTTTTTAGTATTATCTTTGTAAAATATATTCGATATTCTGATAAAAATAAAATTATCCAAATTTAGTTCAAAAACTTTTTTTAGTATTATCTTTGTAAAATATATTCGATATTCTGATAAAAATAAAATTATCCAAATTTAGCTCAAAAACTTTTTTTAGTATTATTTTTGTAAAATATATTCGATATTCTGATAAAAATAAAATTATCCAAATTTAGTTCAAAAACTTTTTTTAGTATTATCTTTGTAAAATATATTCGATATTCTGATAAAAATAAAATTATCCAAATTTAGCTCAAAAACTTTTTTTAGTATTATTTTTGTAAAATATATTCGATATTCTGATAAAAATAAAATTATCCAAATTTAGCTCAAAAACTTTTTTTAGTATTATTTTTGTAAAATATATTCGATATTCTGATAAAAATAAAATTATCCAAATTTAGTTCAAAAACTTTTTTTAGTATTATCTTTGTAAAATATATTCGATATTCTGATAAAAATAAAATTATCCAAATTTAGTTCAAAAACTTTTTTTAGTATTATCTTTGTAAAATATATTCGATATTCTGATAAAAATAAAATTATCCAAATTTAGTTCAAAAACTTTTTTTAGTATTATCTTTGTAAAATATATTTGATATTCTGATAAAAATAAAATTATTTAAATTTAGCTCAAAAACTTTTTTTAGTATTATTTTTGTAAAATATATTCGATATTCTGATAAAAATAAAATTATTTAAATTTAGCTCAAAAACTTTTTTTAGTATTATTTTTGTAAAATATATTCGATATTCTGATAAAAATAAAATTATCCAAATTTAGCTCAAAAACTTTTTTTAGTATTATTTTTGTAAAATATATTCGATATTCTGATAAAAATAAAATTATCCAAATTTAGTTCAAAAACTTTTTTTAGTATTATCTTTGTAAAATATATTCGATATTCTGATAAAAATAAAATTATCCAATTTAGTTCAAAAACTTTTTTTAGTATTATTTTTGTAAAATATATTCCATATTCTGATAAAAATAAAATTATCCAAATTTATTTCAAAAACTTTTTTTAGTATTATCTTTGTAAAATATATTCGATATTCTGATAAAAATAAAATTATCCAAATTTAGCTCAAAAACTTTTTTTAGTATTATCTTTGTAAAATATATTCGATATTCTGATAAAAATAAAATTATCCAAATTTAGTTCAAAAACTTTTTTTAGTATTATCTTTGTAAAATATATTCGATATTCTGATAAAAATAAAATTATCCAAATTTAGCTCAAAAACTTTTTTTAGTATTATTTTTGTAAAATATATTCGATATTCTGATAAAAATAAAATTATCCAAATTTAGCTCAAAAACTTTTTTTAGT